CATTGAACACACGGCAAGCGAAACTTTTCAACAGCAGTACAGGGTATGATGACTCGGTTTCTATTTTGTTCTTGGAAGATGAAATATAAATATTATTAAATAAACATTTATCATTTGATACAATGAATGTGTTTGTTGTTTCCTCCCGCGTCTTGCAGGACTATGAACCTAGTGGTACAACACCAATAAGATGTGAGCCTGATGTTCCAACAAAGGGGACAATAGAGTCTCTTCGTTCCTTGCCAATGGAGTCTCTACTTGAGGAATTCCGGGAAAATAATCCATACGAATCTTCTGATGTAAAGGAGTTGAAACCATCGCTCATTCCACGTTCGCCTCTCAGTCAGCTGAACTAATGGCGGTAGGAACATGCTCGGTTGAATCCTTTACTGAATCAAATTTGTATTTCTATTGTAACATCACATTGCTTTTTGTGGCCCATTTATTGTTTGAAGAATGAATCATCGGAATATAGGATTGTAATGTGATATTTAGAGCAAAGTACTCATGTAAATCCCATCTTGGGATTAAGTATAGGTTAAATAATGTTTATTTTCAAGTAAGGCGCGTGGTTAAATTTAATTCTTATCATTTGTTGTTTGTGTGTAGTCTTGGGAACTTCAAAAGCCTAAAATTTGCACCATTGTGTAATCGAACTCTTTAATAGGGTTTTTTTGGTTCTAAAGTAGTCATCAAATTCTCGAGGCTGCTCAACAATATTTTTTTGAGTTTTTTTCCCTAGAATTTCATTACCTAGCAGTAGCAATATTTAATTATACGCTGTTGGAGTAAATAGGAAAGTCGCTTGTGCTTTCAGAAGTCATGTCAAACTTCAAAAATGACAGGCACTAAAACTGGCTTGTGAAAATTTATATTTTATGAAAAGATTATTATTTGCAAAAAAAAAATGGCACAAAGAAAATTTTCTAACGCAAGAAGTAGCATAATGGATTCTTTAATAATAATCATCTCCGGTAGGTGTGTTGTAAATAAAATTTTCATTTCAAGTAAATATATGTATGGTTATATAAAGACCAATCATTGATGGATTATATACACTATTCATTAGGAATGATATAATATTGAACAAATCATTCATTATTTAATGGATTATAGTTATGTGTTAAATTAATATATGAATAACTTCAGGTCTCTAATGTAACACTCTTTAACCTATGCAGTTTAATCAATTCCTTAATTTTAAACCCAATGAGAAAAAAAAAACAATGAAAAAACATTATAAAAAATTAAATAGAGGCATACCCAATGGGTTATTTTTGTAAATAAATTAAGAGGCATAACCTATACTCCATTTTTTAATTTCAAGAGATCCAACATTAAAAGGGGAAATGACATAAAAACGCATGCATTGAGTTATATTTGTAGATAATCAAAAGATAACATAAATAAAACAAGAGGCATAACCTTTTACACCAAATTCTCATTTCGAGAGGGTTCAATCGTCAATTTATGATTGGTGACTTCATAAAATCATTAAAAGTATGTTTAAATGTTTAACCAATTTCTCAAATTAAACTATGTGGTGTACTATAAATTTTTTTGATACAATAAAACATTATATTATTTTGTAAAGTTAATATCTTTATGATAAAACAGGTTATGGCCATGAAATATTATGTTAAGTTTATTTAATTTTAACAATAATTACTTTAAAAATTATATCAAAATTAGCTCAAAGTATAACAGATGACATACTGATATCGTATAATTATTAAAATCATACTATATACTTTATACGTCCTTAAATGTATTAATGTATTAACTAATAATACGATATGTTATTAAATTTTTATAATTTTTAAGTTGACAATGGTAAATATAAAATTCTGAGAACTATTATTTATATCTTTAAACTTGAAAAGGTCATATCCTCTGTGGATTCAGGCTTGTGAATGTGTCCAATTCTCACCAGAATTCGGGTACGTGGTGATTGTTCTTTATATTTCTAAGCTGTATATACTTTTTTTTTTTTTTTTTTTTTTTCTGTGTCCAATTCTCACCAGAATTCGGGTACGTGGTGATTGTTCTTTATATTTCTAAGCTGTATATACTTTTTTTTTTTTTCCAAATGCACACTTTAGACAGTGGGTGCCATGTCATGTAGCATTTTCACTTTCATCATAGTAACTATTTTGAACTTGCCATGTGTTCCAACTTTTATGAATGGGAATTGATGTCCACTGCAAGATAGTTCCCAAGTGCAATGGAGTGCAATATATTGTAGTTAAATCTTTTTTATTATTATCATTATGTACCAACACAAAGGAAAGAAATGTATGACTCGGTATATTCAGTATTTATTCGTTAATTGCACAACCATCATAGTTTAATAATAACACTTTAAGGCCTTTTCCTTCTCTCGTCGTTTTTTAACATTCAAGTAAGATGATATATGTTATAATAACAAAGAACAAAATTAATTAAGTTCCTCTTTAAAAAAAAAAAAAACTTAAGCTCCTTTTCATAAACGTCCTAGTAAACGTTTTGTAAAGTGTTTTGGAAGCTGTGGACAAACTTTGTTTTGCATGTACGTAAAGTTAAGTGTATGTTAAAATACTAATTTAAAATTGTGTTTAACAAAAAAATAAATATTTGTGACTATAACTTTTTTTAGTATTAATTAAATTCAACTCAACTAGTTCACAATCACATCTTTAATGTTTATAATTTACGAATTATAAACTATTTTAAAATAACTTATAAAAATAAGTTATTACTTATTAAAATAAGTTATCGTACCAAGCAAAATAGGGTCAACAGGTTTAAATTTAGAAAAAAAAGCTTCTAATTTAAAAGATTGTTTTTTGAGGTAGGTATATAGATTTCGTTTCTTAAAAAAATAGTAAATTAATTATTTTTTAAATAAATAATTTAACCTCCAAAATAAGTAAATAAATAATTTAGACAAACATACTAAAAAAATTTAAACAAATGGGTACTTATTTTTTTCAAACTAACTTATAAAGTAATCAAAAATGTTTATAAGCTCTTCAAATATTCTGTCAAATACATTCTTAACATCTTCCTCTTTCAATCTATTATTATTTTTATTTCAATTTTAATTTTTTTAAAAAATAATCAACAACTAAAAATAATCTTGTATCACAATATAAATTATTTATAATAAATATAAATATAATTTATATAATAAAAAATAATTTATTATTAATTTTAGCTACCCTAAAAATTAGAAATATAGTCATTTATCTTTTTCATTACACATAATAAAATACTAACTATTTTGTAAAATCTTGTATATGAATTTTTCATTGACATTTTACTAATTCTCTTAAAATTATCAACGGTTAAATCTAAATATAAAATTTATATATTAAAAAACAACGTGTGATTTGGTTCGGTTTTAATCGTTTCTCGAAAAAAATTAAGTGATCTATTTCAATCCAATAAAATGCGATTTGGATTGAATTTGATGATTTGCTTTTCGCCAACACATCATAAGTAGTAAGTACCGATATTTTATGTCTCTAATACTCTTTAAATGCTGAACCTTATTTAAAATAAACATTAAAAAAAATGTGTGCCAATTAAATGCTAAATTATCTTGCAATATGATTTTCATTTTGAGATAGAAACATATATATTCAAAATAAAAGCCGAAGAAAATAGATATATATATATTCTATTAAGCTAAATCCTGTGTAAAATCAAAGCACATACTTTTTTTTTGTTCGTCCTTGGAGTATCCAAGGCCGGCAGCAGTGACTAATCTCCTCGCTACGTTGGTGGCACCTCAAAGGGTGGGATAGCTGGCCCCAAGATTTAACGCGGCTGCATACACAAGGCAGGATTCGAACCCCTGACTTTGCTTAAGCGTGGATCAACCCCTACCGCTGAACCACACGCTTGGGGTTAAAGCACATACTTAATTCTACTAAGTTTGTTGAATACATGAAAAAAAAAACATAATAACAATATTGATAAAATATATAGAAGTTACATGTTATGTGTGTATTAGACAATATTGGTTTTGTATTGCAAATATCAACTAAAAACCAATTAGAATGGATTGATTATGGCAAAAAAAAAAGTCCAAAAAAATCAAAGAATCTCAATCTTCATTGTTTTTATTTATTTATTTATTAGATTTGCGGTTTTTTCTTGCATTAGGTTGGATCTAAACACTCCTAGGTGTTATCATGCAACATCAGCCTAAACCTAAATGCCAAAACTATCTTTGATATTAATATTTTTATCATAATAACCATCTTAAAATAATAATTACGACATTTATTTTTACTCTCTACATATAAGACATTTTTGTACCTCATTGCTTTTCTTTTTTACAATATTCTTTTTTAATTGACTTAAATGTGTTTTTAAAGTTCTTATCTTAATTATGCAATTTTAATCTCTTAAATTTTAATTAAACAATTTTAATCCATTAAATTTATTAGTTATATGATTTTGGTCCTCTAAATTCTAAAAGACTAATTTTAATCTCTTAAGTATTGTAATCATATGATTTTAGTCCATTCATTAAAAACGTAATTATTTTTTGTAAAGCAAAATTTAATTATTATATTTTTAATTAAATTTTATTCTATTATATATATCTTATCTAATATATTTATATTTTTACAAAAGTATATTAATATATACTAATTTATATTTATGAAATTATTAATTTATCTAGAAATATAGGGATAATGTTATTGATATTAAATGTTGTAAAGAAATGTTATTGATATTAATTATTGTTTTACAATATTCTTGATTAACATTTTTTTTCAAAAAAAAAAAAATTAAATGCTGAAAATTACTTAAATCCAAATAACAGCTACTAACTTCGGTTAGCATCAGATCTCTTATCTTTCCTATAGAATCGCGCAAAACAATGAAAAAAAAACAATCTACGTATGTTTGGTGTTATCTAATTCCTATTTTCTATCAACGTCACCCACCTTGCCCTCCTTCATTTTTCTATAAATGCCTATCTCTCTTCACACATTCTATTTCCATATTTTTGTTTCCCATGCATGTGACACCAATAGACATATTGTTCTGATGGTTTTCCCAAAGTCTCTCTCCTTGTCTCTATTCATTTTCTCCCTTCACGCGTTACTCATCAACAATGGTGTTCAAGCTCTTCATAAAATATATCCCCATCTTCAATCTCTTCAAGCCATTTCCGTAGGGGCAACGCACAGAACTGGATACCATTTCCAACCTCCTAAGAACTGGATCAATGGTTCGTATAATAATATTATTATTTTTATATATATACCTTTATAGAAATTTCTTTTATTTTTGTTTGTTTCATTTTTATGATCTTAGGTTTTTTTTATTTTAAAGTTTAAGTGTTTGACTTAAACTTGATTATTAACAAATATTTTATATTGGGGATGATTAATGCACAATGAAGGTGCTGATTTCATAACAAGAAAAAAATCTGAAGAAAAATTCGAGTCCACATTGAATTATGATTTAAAATTATGGTTATGATTTTAATAGCATGAGAAAGAAGGAGAAAAAACATTTTATATCATGACTAGTTGGGTTTAAGGTATTAGATAATCATGAAAATTTCGAACGTGAAAGGGATAAATGAATTAGGATCTAATGACCTGGTCATTCATTAGGGTAAGGTTTAAACCAAAAATGTTTGTGAAAAAACGGTTATAATGTGAATAAGGATCATTTTGTTCCTCCTTTTTATGCGGTTACGACTAGCATTTGTCCTCATTTGGGTAGAGGGAGGTTCGAGGATCAATCGTGTTTTGTGAACAGACTTGATCCTTGAGTGACATCTTGTAAGATCTTGGTACACCGCTTTCAAGTTTAAATAAGTGTTTGTCATGCATTAAGTGATCGAGGAAAATTCTTTTGATGATGGTTTTGTTGAGGAAGTTTTCGTGCTAACAACCAATGATGTTGAATCTCACTCATGTTTTAATCCACATGTCAACATGCCATCATTTGTTAGCGGGTCAAAACTCGATACCAGAAATTTCCGAGAAATTTGCTTCATGATGTAGAACCCAGAAATTAATATATATCTGCCTTTTTGCATGGTTTTATAATAGTTCAAAATTGATGCATGCCAAACTCTTCTATTGGACGTCAACCAGGGGTATATAGAGCACTTTGTGTCAGTGCTGTGTAAATTTGAAGAGATTAATGTATTGTTTGTGATAAATATGTGTGCCTGTGTGATATTAGAGTTTTTTTTTCATTTTTTTTTTACATATATCTAAGGGCATGGGAAATGGCCGGAAGGAAACAAGTATTTTGTTTTTCATGTGAAATAGTTTTCCATTGTATTCTCTTTGTGGTATATTGGTGAATCAGACTTTTTCAGGAACATCACAGATATATTAGATAGTGACATTGATACCAGAGTTTTGACACCTAATATTACATGTTTTATAGAACAATTCTTCGAATAAGAATAAAAAAAAAAATCATTTAAATTTACTTTTTAGCATTTATATTATTATCTTTTCAAACAGATGTCATCGTGAAAAAAAAATGTCTTTAGTTATCCTATCCTATGATAATTATATGTACTATCGTGCACTCAGTTAGTCTGCAATTAATCATCTTTTTCTATCTTTTTATATTTTTGTAAAAAAAAAATGAAATCAAGTCAGTAATTATGATAGTCTCATTGACATTATTTATGGAAGGTTTAAATATGTTAGTGTCTTAAATTTAGGTATAAATTTAGTTTTTATTTAAGTTTAAAATTGATATTTTTTTACTTTGTAATTTAAAAAAAGTTTAATCCAATTTTTAAAACTGAATCAATTCAACCGATTTTTGTTTTAAAAATCAATTAAACCAGTTAAAGATATTGAATATTAATTATGCTGTAATTGTAATATTGCATTAATCATCCACTGATTTAGTGGAGACAGGTGGGAGTCTTTTATGGATCTCAAGCTTCTATTGGTCGTTATGAATTGTTAACTCAGGATTCAGAGTTTATAAATAGTGGATATGGTATCATTATTGATAATCACTCATTCCCTTTTATCAAAAGCATACGATCCTGCTTGGTTTTCATTATGATAATAATATGCTAACTTTCTTTCCTTTGTAATCCTTTCATGGTCGTTCAATTGCTGTAACACGCAGATCCAAACGGTAAGCAAAAATATAATTTGGTCCACATGTTTTTGACACAATCTTTTATTCATGATTTGAAATTTTTATTGTGGACACCACAGGGCCCATGTACTACAACGGATACTACCATCTATTCTACCAATACAACCCAGAGGGGTCAGTGTGGGGTAACATAGTGTGGGCCCACTCCGTATCAAAGGATCTCATAAACTGGAAGGCCCTAGAACACGCCCTCTACCCATCAAAGCCCTTTGACAAGTTCGGGTGCTGGTCCGGGTCGGCCACAGTGGTACCGGGTAAGGGGCCCATCATTCTGTACACCGGAATCGTCGATGAAAAAAATACCGAGGTCCAATGCTACGCCATACCCGAAGACCCCAAAGACCCGCTTCTCCAAAAATGGGTAAAACCGGACAAATTCAACCCGATTGTGATCCCTGAGAAGGGCATAAACGGTAGCGCGTTTCGTGACCCGACAACAGCGTGGTGGAGCAAGGACGGGCACTGGAGGATGTTGGTGGGTAGTAAAAGGAAGCGTAGAGGAATGGCTTATTTGTATAGAAGTAAAGATTTTATGACGTGGGTTCGGGCCAAACACCCGATCCATTCTAAGGGCGAAACGGGTATGTGGGAGTGCCCCGATTTTTACCCGGTTTCGCTTACAGGAACTAACGGGTTGGACATATCAGTGACGGGGGATCACGTGAAACACGTGTTGAAGAATAGCCTTGACTTGACTAGGTTTGACTATTATACTCTTGGAACGTATTTTGAGGATAAGGATAAGTATGTCCCGGATAATACTTCCGTCGATGGTTGGGGTGGACTTAGGTATGACTATGGTAATTTCTATGCTTCCAAGTCATTTTTTGACCCTAGCAAGAACAGAAGGGTTTTGTGGGGTTGGGCCAACGAGTCTGATTCCAAGGATGATGATGTTAAAAAAGGATGGGCAGGAATTCAGGTACTTACTTCTTTTTTTTCATTTTAACATATGAACAAAATTTTGTTTGTTTCAAAGGTTTTTTAACGGGGGAAATAAATTGATAATACAATGGCCTGTTGTGTGTGTCTTTAAATTATCAGGCAATTCCACGAACTCTGTGGCTTGACTCTAATGGAAGACAATTGGTACAATGGCCTGTTGAAGAATTAAATAGTCTTAGAGGGCAAGAAGTTACCATCAAGAGTGAAAAGCTTGAAAAAGGAGATTATGTTGAAGTAAAAGGAATCACTGCTGCGCAGGTTAGTTTTTTTAATTAAGTATTAATATGCATTTAGTTTAATGGTTTACAAACATTTAATGATATTATGCAAGTATAATTGCAGGCAGATGTAGAAGTTACGTTCTCATTTTCAAGCTTGGATAAGGCAGAGGCATATGATCCTAAGTGGGTAAACGCACAGGATCTTTGTGCCCGAATGGGTTCAAACCTTCAAGGAGGGGTTGGACCATTTGGACTCTTGACTTTAGCTTCTCAAAATCTCGAGGAATTCACTCCAGTGTTTTTTAGGATTTTCAAAGGTGAAAATAAGCATGTGATTCTCTTGTGCTCTGATGCAAGAAGGTTAGTCTAATACAAATTGTGGTTACAGCTTACAATTTGTTTCTATCATCTTATCTTTTATCTTAACCAAATTCGTTATTTTGTTTTTGGCATTTTCAAACAGTTCCTCTATAAAGAGTAATTTGTACAAGCCTTCATTTGCTGGCTTTTTAGACGTTGATTTGGACAAAAATAAGAAACTTTCTCTTAGGAGTTTGGTATGTGCAAATCCAACCATTCCTCCATGTGGTGCTTAAAAGTAACATAATAATTGATTAATATTCTTCATTTTTTTCAATTATATTACAGATCGATCATTCAGTAGTGGAAAGTTTTGGAGAAGGAGGGAAGACAAATATTTTGTCACGAGTTTATCCACAGCTAGCAGTGACGGATCAAGCTCACTTATTTATGTTCAACAACGGAACTGAACCAATCACCGTGGAAAATCTCAAAGCATGGAGCATGAAATCTGCTGATATAAGTTGAACAACCAAAAATCAATTAATTGGTTGAAAATAATATAGCTTAACACACAATTTGTAAGTAAAAAAAAATTAGAAACATAATATTTTCACATTGTTTTAACATACCCTTTATTGTTTGGTGAATTAGCATTCATCCTTTGGAACTAAAAAAAATAAGATGGGTTGTGTTAAAAGAATTGTTAAAATGATAGTGTGTTAGCTAGGCTTTTATTTTATTTTGTTGAAGTATATTATTGGTGGTTCGAAAGCAAGTTATCATTTAGGTTTGTCAAATTAAATTAGCTTTAGAGTTACTATTTTAATGTTTGTATGTTTTATCAAGTACAAGTATTTCTATTTCTCGTGTTTTTGATATTTTAATGCTCTCATCTATCCCTATTGTATATTTTATCAAGTACAAGTATTTCTATTTCTATTTCTTTAGAATTACTATTATATGTTTGTATGTTTTTGATATTTTTACCAAAGAATTACTCATCTATCAGAGCCACGTCTAGAACTTTGGCTCAAGGGCACAAGAATAAAAAAAAAAATAAAGAAAATTTGATTTTTCATTTGTATAAGCTATATATAAGATTTAATATACAAATAATATATCCTTATAAATAAAAATTTATAATTATTTGGACTAAAAAGCTAGTGTACAAGAAAAGAAATAAATAAAATAGATAAAAATAAATTTTATGCATTTATCGCATGCCACAAAAATAAACTTTATAGTAATTTAAAAATTCATAACGTGTTGTCTGGTGAATTCATAAGTAAATGGCATGAACACAATATGATTAATAACTAAATATGCCTACATTATGAGATACTTCGAATGATTTCAAGCCTGTATTCACTTCGTAGCGACATTTTTTTCAATTTAAATTTAATATTGCAATGTGTTTAGTCCTTTGCAAAATTCATAGTTCCTTTTGCATAATAATTTAATTAGTTGTTCTTTTTTGACTTTTCACTAATTGCGTGTTCAAATAATAATCAATTCATATCCCCATACTGTTGGCATATACGTCATTTTAAAAAAAAATTGTTTTTGAAATAGTAACACGGTTGCAACAGCCACGTAAAAAGAACCAACGTGCTTCCGATTTTCACGTTGTTTTCCTGATCCTTTTACTTGCTACGGTTAACATATCATGAATGTGGTCCATTTTTCAACCCATTATCAAATAACTTGCGGATATGGTACCGTGATTCCCGCACGTTTTTCTCCAACGTTCAAAGAGGCTCTACGATGGATTAGAGCTCTGTAAAGTTGAACACGTATCTCTGTTTTGGGTCCCTGAGCCTACTCTCCTCTTCAGTATACTACACCATCACGTATAGAGAGCAAGGGTTCAGAAACCTGAAGGAGCAAGCGAACAACAATGGCTGGAGGTTGGTCCTTTAATTTCCGCAATTATGAGAATGATCTGAACGTGTTTGCTTTTGATTTTGCCATGTTTAGATCTTTAGGATTTTAGTTCTTTCATTTGGTATCAGAGCCAGGTTGTTTCCTCTGCCTTGTTTTGTATCGGGTTTTTGGGTATCTCTTTTCAACCCCATAATTGTTTCTAAAACTGGAGAGGGAGTAGAGGATGATTTTTCTACCGTTTCTGTAATTAAAATGGTGTTTTTCGATGTTCAAAACGTGGAGAAATGCTCGGGTTTTCGTTTCGGGTCCGCGGGTCATAAACGGGTAAAAATGACCCGTCTCAAGGTTGAAGACGAGTGAAACGTAATGTGTTTCGCGTTTTGTTTATTTGTTTGCTATTGACATGCATATGTTTTATTTTTAAATTGCATCACACTTCATAGATAAAGTACTTGGTGCAGAGGTTTGTTTACTTGCATATAGCTGTCATGGCATGGGTTCGAATCCTGTTGGTGTCTTGCATGTTTTGATTTTCCTCTATTTTTATATGATGAGTCACGCACATATCTCTATATGTTGAAGTCACCCACGGTCAAATGATGCTGGAATGATTTCGTAATTACGTGTTGCATGCTTTGTACGTGATTGTTTTGATTCCCGTTTTTGATTTCTTGCATGCTGGAATGATTTCATAATTACGTGTTGCATGCTTTGTACGTACGTGATCAAATGATTTTTTATTTCTTGCATGTTTCGTAATTACGTGGTGTAATTATTTTTTCGTGACTTGCAATGAGTACAATAGAGAAGTCGCCGTGTCGCAGAGCATCGCCGGCAAGCACATCGACAGGGTTTTCACCTTCGATAAGGTCCTTCTTAACACTTCTCACATTCCATGTATTATAGCTTGAGTTCACGGAAATGCACGCACACTTTCAGAAATGAATAGAGGAATGTTGATAAGTTAGTTTTAGTTTAATATTCTTAAACACAACTTATTTTTGCAAACTATGTTGTACTAAATTTTAAATAATTAAAAATATTCTAAATCGTTTAGTTTAATTATTTTTATATTATTTCTAATTATAGCTTAATTTAGTTAATCTTTCTAAGCTCATATTATTATTATTATATCATCATTTTTTTTTAAAGATAAGTGTTAATCTATGGCCATAAAAATGAAAATTTGATTTAATTTGTAGTTGGAGATTGGCCTTGGGAATTTAAATGAGTACAAACTTAAGGTGAAATATCCTTTTGTTATTTGAGATTATGATAAAGTTCATTTATCCTGACTAAGCACTACAAGAATAATTCAAGTTTCACTATGACAAGAAAATCTAAAATATATAATTAATCTTGGTTATAAATAATTTTGTACATTTTATTTATTTATCTGTATTTATTAGATAATTATTCTCACTCCTTATTTTTCTTATTTTAAAATTATATTATTTATAATGCAAAATGGATGGATCTACTAGCAATTCCAGATCTTTTTACAATTGTTATTTCTACTATTTTCCCGGGAGGAAGCTAGAATATCGACGCAGTATCTAACTCCATCAGATGGTAGGAAGAAGAAATACAAAATTGATAGAGGTTGTGCAAGCTATTAAAGACATGGCTACAACCTTGTTAAGAAATCAAAGACCAGAAGGACTTGGTGAATAACAATGATTGATTGAGTTTAGGAGAAATAAGCCTTCCCATTTTGAGGGAGGATATAAACCTGGAAAAGCTGAATTATTGATCAAAGAAATAGAAAAGATATTTCAAGCCATGAATTGTCCTAATAACCAAAAAGTAAATTATGCAGTGTTTATGTTAGTAGGAGAAGCAAAATATTGGTAGGATAGTACTAGAAGGTTATTAGAAGGAGGAGGAATAATTATTACATAGAAAGTATTTAGAGCTAAATTTTTAAAAAATATTTTCCTAATGATGTTAAAAGAGCTAAAGAAATAGAATTTATGCAATTAAAACAAGGGAACATGACAGTAGGAGAATATGCTTCTAAGTTTGAAGAATTGGGAAAATATTTCGTTTTCTTTTATCACCCTGATGAAAGAATGAAGTGTATTAAATTTGTGGATGGACTTCAACCAAAACTGAGAAAGGCAGTAGGAATATTAGAAATTTCTGATTTTCCTACAGTAATCCACAAATGTCACTTTTTGGAAGGTTTTGAGTAAAACAAGGATAATAGACCAAAATCTTTTAGCCCTCAGTTTAACAAAAAAAGAAATAATGAAGGAAAACCTTATGACTGACCTCAATAGAAATCCCAATCTTCTCAATTTTTAGAAAATTCTAGTAGACCTATAAATAATCAGGTTAAGTGTCTTAAGTGTGGACAGAGACATTATACTAAGGACTGTCATCTCAAAGAACCTGTCTGTTTCAAATGTGGGAAGCCTGATCATGTGTTCTTTGAGTGTGGACAACTAAAGACACATGCAAATACTTTTGTACCTAAACCAAGGCCTACTACAACTATGAGAGTTTATAATGACTAGAACTAAAGCTGGTCAAAACAATGATCTAATACAAGGTACATGTTTCATTAAAGGTAAAACTTTGAAAGTACTGTATGATTCAGAAGCACCCCATTCTTTCATCTCTAAAGATTGCATTCAACACCTTCAATTGTCAATTTCTTCTATAGAGACTAATCTAATTGTTTCAACCCCTACAAATAAATCTGACATCCATTTCTTTGTTTGTATGCCCCCTGGACGAAATTGAGTGTCTACAGCTGCCCCTCTTTACTTGTCCTTTGGAATAGCTATGTGTTGCTTTCCAAAGGCAAGTAAAGACGTAGACATTTCATCCGGGTCTTCTCTTTGTCTCTTATTGTGACGCTTCTACGTTGCTTTCCTTGGATAGGTGGATTTGCTTGTATCATTACCTTTTAGAGTAGCTGAGTGTTGGGTTGCATACTCTACGGGGTAACAAGGGTGACAAACTGTACACCTGATCTTCAATCTTCGAGTAGATGCTCTATTGTTTTTCTTGTGATAGTGAGGCAAAAATTCGAAACATCTAGGCTTCTGGTCTTGACGTAGATGCTTCATGTTGCTTCTGCTTGTCTCATGTAGTGAATTCTTTTATTTGTGAGCTTGTTAAAGAAGAAGTATATTTTGATCTCAGAACTGAACTCCAACCCTTAACGTCGATCCATCGCAGGCCGTTTAGCGACGAAGAGTTACGAAGCAACGCACCGCAAGTCGTGACTTGCAATGAGTACAATAGAGAAGTCGCCGTGTCGCAGAGCATCGCCGGCAAGCACATCGACAGGGTTTTCACCTTCGATAAGGTCCTTCTTAACACTTCTCACATTCCATGTATTATAGCTTGAGTTCACGGAAATGCACGCACACTTTCAGAAATGAATAGAGGAATGTTGATAAGTTAGTTTTAGGGTAATCTCAAATCTGAAATCTGTTCGTTGTGTATTGGCTAGGTTTTTGGTCCTTCTGCGCGGCAAAAGGATCTTTACGAACAAGCTGTTACTCCAATAGTTAATGAAGTTCTCGAGGGTTTTAATTGTACTATATTTGCGTATGGTCAAACTGGCACGGGAAAAACCTACACAATGGAAGGGGAATGCAAAAAGGCCAAGGTATACGATTTTGATTTTAGTGTCTATGCTCAATGTCATCAAGGCACTTGAATGAGTTAAGTTAGTGACTCTATTTGAGTATTTTACTGCAGAGTGGTCCCAGAGGAGAGTTGCCTCCAGAAGCTGGAGTGATTCCTAGGGCTGTCAAGCAAATTTTTGACACACTTGAGAGCCAGAATGCGGAGTACAGTGTGAAGGTCACTTTTTTGGAACTGTATAACGAAGAGATTACTGATTTGCTTGCCCCAGAGGAGCTTTCTAAAGTTTCTTTGGAGGAGAAGCAGAAAAAGCAGTCTGCAAGAAGAACGACCCGTTCTGCAAGAAGAACGGCCCGTTTCAGAACGGCCCATACTGAAAGCAGTACGGGCCGTTCTGGGCCGTTCTGTTGCAGTACAGGCCACCGCGTCACTTTTAAAATGGTTACCTTATGACTGGTTTTAAAACTCCGATTTTAAAAGTCATTTTTGTACTAGTGTTTCTTTCCATAGAACAAGTAAGAGTCTTTCTCTTACAAGACCACCTGCTGACATTGCGCACCCCTCTTCTTTCTCTTTGTGGCACTCCTCTTCTTCTTCTTTTTTCCCGCACCTCGCACACCCCTCTTCTTTCTCTTTCTGACACTCCTCTTCTTCTTCTTCCTACTGTTACAGAAAGTTCTTTCCAGAATTATATAAAAATGTTCCGGAAAATACTTTCCATAATATTAAATTCTTATTCCGGAAAGTATTTTCTGGAAATGTTTTGTTACATAATTCCGGAAAAGTACTTTCCATAATATTAAAGTTACTATTACGGAAAGTTCTTTCCGGAATTATATGAACAATAATTTTACTATTCTGGAAAGTACTTTCCGGAATGCTAATGACTGTAAAAGTACTTTATGGAATGCTAATGATTGTAAAAAAGCCTTTCTTATGATGATTATGGTGGGGCTAGTCCTTTTTTTCTATTCAGAATGACTGTAAAAATATATTACTTAATGACATTGAGCGAAAAGAGACTTTGGGAAGAAGAAGGGTGTGGAGTGTGGGGTGCGGGGAAGGGGGGTGCGGTAAAGGGAGGTGTAAATTTAGGAATTTCATTTTTTTTAAAAAGGGTAATTTAGACATTTTATATATATTTTTTAAAAAGGGGTGTATTTATACGAGAGTGGAAGTGTGTTTATCATCGGCCAAAACAGGGTGGTGCGCTCTTCTTGGTAGAGCCCAGGCCCAAAGCGTTGGGCTTATCTTTAGGTTAGTCCAACTGAGACGAATAATCAAACGAGGAAACGACAACTGAAAAGCCTCGAACGACAGGGGTAAAACGGTAAGACTAAGATAGATTTGCACACCGTTGGATCCACGAACCTCAAACGCTGAGCCGTAGATATATTATATTGCAAAGGGGAAAAGCGAAGAGCGGAATTCAAAAATTCAAATCTCAAACGCAGCACTCCTCGGACCCGCTCTCACACACAGAGAAAGAGAGAGAGAGAGAGAGAAGAAGAAGAAGAAGACACTTTCAGAAGCGGATCTAGCATCCAAAATGTCAGGGCGTGAGAAAGAGAAGGGCGTCAACGTTCAGGTCCTCCTCCGTTGCAGGTATTCCATTTCCGTTTCCGTTTTTCTCCGTTATTTTCGTCTGAACTCCAACCCTTAACGTCGATCCATCGCAGGCCGTTTAGCGACGAAGAGTTACGAAGCAACGCACCGCAAGTCGTGACTTGCAATGAGTACAATAGAGAAGTCGCCGTGTCGCAGAGCATCGCCGGCAAGCACATCGACAGGGTTTTCACCTTCGATAAGGTCCTTCTTAACACTTCTCACATTCCATGTATTATAGCTTGAGTTCACGGAAATGCACGCACACTTTCAGAAATGAATAGAGGAATGTTGATAAGTTAGTTTTAGGGTAATCTCAAATCTGAAATCTGTTCGTTGTGTATTGGCTAGGTTTTTGGTCCTTCTGCGCGGCAAAAGGATCTTTACGATTACTTGCTACGGTTAACATATCATGAATGTGGTCCATTTTTCAACCCATTATCAAATAACTTGCGGATATGGTACCATGATTCCCGCATGTTTTTCTTCAACGTTCAAAGAAGCTCTACGATGGATTAGAGCTCTATAAAATTGAACATGTATCTCTGTTTTAGGTCCCTGAGCCTACTCTCCTCTTCAGTATACTACACCATCACATATAGAGAGCAAGGGTTCAGAAACCTGAAGGAGCAAGCGAACAACAATGGCTGGAGGTTGGTCCTTTAATTTCTGCAATTATGAGAATGATCTGAACGTGTTTGCTTTTGATTTTGCCATGTTTAGATCTTTAGGATTTTAGTTCTTTCATACTTTATCATTCACTCTAGCCTAGAATATGAGACTTTATATAAGCACTTTTAAGAGAAAAAAATTGTTAAAAAAATGACAAATTTCTTCATAAATTAAAATTATTTGATGCATAAACTTATTTATAAAAACTGATTTTTCTAAAAACCTATTTTTCACTTTGTTTTAATTACAAACTTATTTTATTGTTTTCATTTCTTTTAGCATAAGTGCTTATGAAAAAAGTCTATCCAAACAAATAGCAGCGACAATACATCTATCTAGCAGCACAAAAAATAACAGATCGAAATCAGAAAAAGCGTTATATAGGACCTATATTAATCGATAAACAATTGTAATAAAATTACTGTAGCAGCGACAATACATCTATCTAGAGGCACAAAAAATACGTATAGTATCTTTTCAGCGACAATACATTTTAAAAAAGCGAGGATATACCGTAATTCACATGCAAGTCTTACTACCCATACGCCTATACCTAAAAAAGATTACATTTCTAAACAGAATTTGTTTTTTGAATTGATACTTGTGGTCAGTTTCCGTCCAGCATAATTCATTACCCAACCACAAATTACTTATTTCGCGAGGCTGTGATTCATATTGATTCGTCATTTGACAATGCGTTGTACAGTATTTGACAGTCAAAAGGATGAAAATCCAATGAATTTGGTAAACTAGCATTAGAGGTGGCACTAAGATGTGGCTCACGAAGACATTATTGATGCTGCCAACGCTTTTGACAAGTAACTAGAACAATCCAAGGACCAAAAACCATTTGCATCGAAGCATGTTTAGGGGGAGAATAATTTCTTAAACAATTGTATAAAGCCATCAACCACCAAAATCCCTCAAGCAACATCAGCAACGTTGCATTCTTGCATAGTACCAAAAAATAAGTGATAGATTAACCAACATCCAAGCAACTTAAATTAAAATGGAAACCTTTATTGTCAAGATGCTAAAACGTTACCATGCATAGCTACAGCTGAAAGTTATTAATACTGAACTTGCTATCATTAACATACCTCCTTTCATTTAGTTTGAAAATAATTTCTTAACAATAACCTAGTCTCAAAAATTTCAAACTAAGCTACTTCATACACCTAGCATAAAAACTTCAACAAAATATATACAGCTTTAAATTACCCATGAATCCATATATTACTCGAGTATAAACTAAATTTGCCCGTCAAAAACTTTTTTCAAAGTTCAGATTAAATAAATATAATTAGTTAACCATACCAGATAAAGCAACATCTTTTGTTATCTTACTAACTCAAAATTAGCCAAACCCGAGTGCAAATTAGGCTTTAGTAGTTAGCTATAATAGACCATGTCCTTGAAAAAAGAAAAACTCAAAACAACACCCACCGCTGTTAACATAATAAAAAATGAAATAGACATCTCGTTCAAAAGCCGATTACATGAATTTTCAAAATTTTAAAACACCATTTAATTTATTAAACTACAAAAATTAATAAAAACATTGTCAAAAATACTGGAAAGTGACATTACAAGGCGAAGATAAAAGAGAAAAAAAGCATGAAAAATCCATTGATACTAACATTTTTATTCTTAACTGTCGCCAAAATGTACCATGTCCCATCACTCGAAGGAAAACAATTCTTACGAGAGAAAAATTATATAAGAAAGCATATAATTTACTACGATGAGAGTGCATTACCAAACATAAACTACCACTTAAAAAGATCATAATGTCAACATAACAAATATAATTGACTACCACAAAAATGTCGTTCAAAACATTTAACATTAATCAAAACCGGAAACAATAAACAGTAATTTTGTAAACCAACAAACAGTCCCTCCCCTGAGTCCAACATGGAAGAGACCAATAGTATCAACCAGAATTTACTTAATCTTCTTCTTTGGCCTCAACTGCAAAAGCAAAAAAATCAGAGCCAATCAGCTTTAACCTATTAAACACAACAAATAATAAAGGACAAGGTTCAAAATCAAATCCCAGAACGTTAATAAACAAAGACTAACCTGATTACTGTGACCACACTTCTTCTTGCGGCAGTTCACAGCCCTAGGATGCAGACGAGCATAGCACCTACAAACAAACAAAAAATAACACATCAGTAAAATCAAGCAACAGAGAACAAAGCAATTAAAAAATTCAAGCAATAAAAATTAAAAAAAATAATATATTAAGCTATAGGTAAAGAATGTACCAACAATGAAAATCAACTATGAGTAAACAATCACAGTTGACAAAGTATAGATGGACATGAATATAGGGAACAAGTATAACCCCTTTTTCACATGTAAAATCAAAAGGAGCTAAGTAATTGTCCCATGAAATAATAATAATAAAAAATAGATGATAGTGTAGGGTGCATACTTGCGGCAAATCATCTTGTCTTGGTTGTATTTGCGAGCCAAAGCCATCAATGAAGGCTCGATGATGCCACCACGAAGCCTGAGAACAAGGTGGAGAGTGGATTCCTTCTGGATGTTGTAATCGGCTAAGGTCCTTCCATCTTCAAGTTGCTTTCCGGCGAAAATCAGACGCTGCTGATCCGGAGGGATTCCTGAAAATTCCAGAAGGAATAGGTGAGGATGTGGAATAATGAAAAGTGATGCGATTGATGGAGTTTGGGGTTGTATGGAGTACCTTCTTTGTCTTGGATCTTAGCCTTGACATTGTCGATGGTGTCGCTGCTCTCGACCTCGAGGGTGATGGTCTTCCCCGTTAGGGTTTTCACGAATATCTGCATCTTTGCGCCTCCGCTGCTTCCACTCCCTCTCAGACTCAACAAATGCAAAACCTTTGCAACCCTTCGTTTTTATACTCTTCTTTCTAGGGTTTCAAACTCACTAGCTTTCTTGGGCCTTAGTATTGGATAGTTTCGGACCCCATTTTGCTCGGCTGTTGCCCTTGTTGGGCTGTAATTTGTTGGGCTCTCTTTGCTGTTCAGTGTTGACGGAAAGATCAGTTTTTGCGTTGTCCTTCTCAGCTTTGTTATTTAATTTAACTGGATAAAAATTTAAAAATAGTAAAAAAAATAAATTATATATATATATTAATATGGGGAAGACCGAAAGAGTGAGCGAAAAGTATTAGAGAGCATGTGTGTCCACAAATTTATTTTTACCAGTATTTTGGCTCTAATTTCACAGGTGAAATATTTATTATATAATTAAATTTTATAATAAATTATACATAAATAAATACTATATATTAAATATATAAACTATATTTAAAATTAGTATAAATAGACACTTTTAATATATAAATTATATTTTAGATTTAAAATAAATAAATATATTATTTATATTTATCAAAGAAAAATTATTGATAACTTATTTTAAAAAAAATATGCAGTTGCTGCAACGAATATTTCTCTCACGGCATTTCACTGAATGATTTATTTGTTTTGTCGTGATGAAAAATCTTAAGCATAATTACGTTATTTAAATTCTCGTCGTATGTTCTAGAAGAAAAAGAAAGCTCACATTTTTTAAGTCACCTTAATTTCCTTGTTGAAATTTTCGTAATAAAGTTGTGAAAAAACACGCGATATACTTTTTTTAATTAAAAAACACCACTAAATGAACTTCATTCAAGATTTGTACACGATTCAATGGTATAAACACGTTCCTACGCACGGCACTATACACAGGAATAAACATCAAAACAATCACACCATACATATAAGCCTTAGTAAAGTGGACATGACAATCGTGAATCCTTGGTTTTATTTAGTGTGGCGGAGACCAAATCAGCGCAAATAAGTTCGCATATACAATAAATTGTATGTAAATTCTTTGGTAGTTGATAAATTGTACATAATTCACATGTGACTGTTACTTATTACCGGCTAACCTCTTCTGTTTATTTTCAACAATTTCGACTCTGGATTCAACAAATTTCTACGATGGATACCCCATTGTCCAAATAAAACAGGAACTAATGGGATGCTATCTTGGAAGCCACAATCTCAAGAAGTCCCTTTGGGTTGTCCACGTGAACCCAATGTCCAGCATTTGGAAGAACGCAGAAGGAAACTTTTCCAAGAGAATCGGTTTCTCCCCGAATGGCTAGTTTCTGGATCCTCTCGATGGCATCTTGGTCCCATCTATCACTTTTTTCAGCACGCACAATTATTATTTCCATACCTTTGGGAGGGTTCTCCAATAGATTCCAATAGGACTTCTCGCTGCAGAATTGTAACGTTGGGGATTGTTACTTTTGTGATGTGGAGGAAGATAGCAGAAAACACTTGTAAAAACAAAGAACAACTTCAAATGAAGTTATCAGACATTCATTTTTATTTCAAAAGAAGATAAATGCGTGTTAAGTTTCAAGAAACCTTTATCTTTTTTATTTCTTATTTCAAAGATTTGTATAGTAAATGATGAAAATATCATTTCAAAGTTTAATCAATCCAAACAGGTCCTAATATATGCTTCATTTACCAGTAAGAATCGAACATCTCCTTAGCATTTTGAAGATCAAATATCCATGTCTCATGATCACCAACTTTTTTCAGGTTGGTGCCTATCCAATCTGACAGTGCTTTAGAGTAACCAAGTCCCATCAGATGACTCACAAGCCACCTGAAATGAGGTGAAGTGTACATTTTAGTCTAATTACATTATATATTGGCCCGAGGAAGATTCATATATTGTAAATTTGTGATAGTGTTAAATACAATGAAGAAATAACCTATTTTTGTAGATATTACACAACCAATTTCAACAAGATTCAAGACACCAATTTTTCTACATAGACAACTAATCCCATCATCGTCTCATCTAAAGAAAATGAAGGAAATACCTATAATGTCCTTTCTGCAAATAAACGAACTCAAGTTTTATGCTTAGAATGTCTAACGAGAATTTGTAGACTTCCAATATACATTGCATACAATGTCTGATAAAAATTGTATCAAGAAAAAAGAAAAGAACTGAAACAGTAACTGATTATTGAAGAATTTAAAGAATACACAAGTTTATTCAAGAGGACCCAACTCTGCCACCAAGAATGATCAATGTACAAGACACCCTCAAACACACACAATTACTAACTCCCCTTTATATTCTCTTCTAAAATCCTAACTAACTACAGCTGTCATAACCGTTCAATTACTTTGGGTAGGGATTAGGGAGCCTCTCAAAAAACACTTAATTTCTCCAAAATAGACTCTTTTAATAGGGGGTTGGGGTTATCTATCAATGTGTTCACAATGCGCTTCATTTGATTATAGACTGAAACAAAGATCACATACTTTAGATGAGACGATGATAGGATTAATTGTCTATATAGAAAAATTGGTGTCTAATTCTCTCTACAATCTGTATGATTTCTAGGAAGACACGAAACTAGAAACTAGCATCATACATATTGTTTATTTGTTTAGCATGTTCACATAATATCTTGTACACAAAAAATACTACTGGAAAAAATGATTACTACCCCACTCATGTTCACATAATATCTTGTACACAAAAAATACTACTGGAAGCAACATATCAAGACATAGATAATGTCCATTGTTCCACTCTGTACATCAAAAATGATTACTAGCCCACTGAAAAACTTAACCTGAAAAGAGAATAAATTCAAGGATGTAAAGTCTCACTTGCGAGATGGGATTTGTGATGGCAAACTTTGCAAGGTTGCTAAAACATCCCGGACTTCTTCATTACTGTTTTCAGAGTTCACTTCTCCAGGGACAGAATCCAATACCCAGAGCTGCTCTTCAGGAGGGATAAAAGAGAAAAATACAAAAAAAACATTAGGCACATAGCACAAATGATTCTTGATAATCAGGCATATGGCACGAGGTCAGGAAGCTTAGGAAATGGAAAATACACTAGGGATGTTGTATGTTTCTTAAAGCTTAATGGCATATTATCTATTCTCAAGTCTATAATTGATACCATTTCCATTCATAAGGATATACGGGTTGCATGCACGCAGAACAAGTCTGTTATAGTTTATGATCTATTTACAACTTTAAACAAATTAAGCTGTCTCTATTTTCATCTCAGTCGACACAAATTCATTTATCCAATAAAAATTTGGTTGGATATATTCATCAGTAGGGAAATCGTAATATCAGAATTCAGAAATACACACCTTTTAAGTTTTAGAAAACACAAAGGACAGGGAAATTTCAATACGCAAAATTCAACTAGAGTGAGCAATATACTAACCCAAAGCAGGCTAACAAATCTTATAATGTGCATAGCCATCATTTTGAATCAGTAGAAACACTAGAACCAAAAACAAAAATAAAATGGCAGTGTCTTATAACAGTGAGGTATCATTACAATCACAAACGAATACTTCTATAGCTATACTATACCATTTTTATTTTTTTTTTGAAAATCATATCATTCATTAAGAAATAAAGGACAAAAGAGTCCATCGTTACTGAGGACAACGCTTGCTGAGGCACCAAGTCTTACCACATGCAAATTTAGTAGGACCTAACAAGTGATGCTATTACATGTGCCGGTTTATTGCTATCTCTTTTAACATGAGATAAAGAGAAAAAGTTAAAACACTCTGCTAACTGACTACAATCCTTGACTACGAGAAGCAATTCTGAGCTTCCTTTACTACTCTTAAAACATGCTCAATCCTCTCCAGCCCATAATCAATTGCCAGTTGCAGATACCATCTTCTGCTATCTCAGGTGCTACATTAATCTCAGAAAAATAGTATGTTCAATGTTGATACCTATGCTGTATCTCAGGTTTGAGTAGTGAATATGACATAATACATAGATAAATGTAATAATTTTTTTAAAAAAAATTAGGACCTAGCTATGACAATGTATATTAACTAAAATATAATTAGAGAAAAAAGGATATGAACTAGCAGTGTGATAAGTTTGGTGACTTTGTAATAACCATCCTAATTGCATAAAATTTTAAACTAACAGAGCATATCCATTAAACTCGTAATTATATTTATATATTTCTTATATTTTATTAACTACTTTTCTTGATCTCATTATTTATAGTTGATAACCATATTGATGTTCCATCATTATGGTATCATCATTGGTATTTAACCTTTTGCAAATTTTACTGAGAAAGCATTATCCTAGCCAAATTTGAATACCAATGTTATAACTAAGTTATGATAATGAAGTTATTTCTATGTAAAGAAAAAAGCAAAATCCTATAAAAGGGGTTACAATATAAGACACACAAGTTCTAATATAGAGGCAACCAACCACGTATCCGAATTCAGTATGGGTAGTTGGGTACCATTACCAATTTCTGATACTTCACAGACTTTGAAGTATCAGTACATCTTCAGAGGCTGATACTATCACTTCAGTTCTCTCGTTTCTGGCAATAACATGATAGATAGCCTGTCCCAGTGTCCCTCCTTCTTTATCATTTTATTTTTACTACACACGAGTATACGCTTGAAACGCTTCTATACCTCACTTTTTTTTTTTTTTTTCAATAATCTGCTATGCCTACTTTACCTTACAAGCACCTTCACAACAATGTGACTCTCATCAACCACTCATTAACGCTTCTCAATTATCATAATTGAATTCAACCGTAGAATTCACAACCAGTTATTGTAATAGAGAAGAGAAAAAAAACCTGTTTCGGCGAGAGAGCAGAATGGCCATAGTCACCGCGGCTACAACTCTCAGCAAAATGCAAAGCAACCTTTCCACCCATGGAGTGCCCTAAAACAACCTCAGGCCAAGGCCAGCCTTCAGCCTTCACCAAATCGGCCAAATCCTTGGCCGCACTATCAATGTTATGCGGCGGATTCAGTTCCCTCTCCGCCGATTTCCCGTGGTTCCTCATATCCAACATCACCGTCCTCCAATCTGCACGCAAAACAAAATTCATAATAATTTATAATTCAGTTCACAATTAGGGAATCAAAAAGGAAAATGAGAAACGAGAGGCGCGCGCGAGATACTGGAAGAGGGAGAGGAGTTGGAGAGAGAGGCCAAGAGGTTGCGTGAGAAAGATCTCCAGTTTCTGGAAGATCCCAAAAAGCCATGGATGAAAACCGCCGTTGAAGTGTAGGGTTTGTCCGGGTGGGCCCGGAGTTCTTCGTACGCTACCGTTTGCAGCCACCTTCGACGAGGGAGACTCGCTGAGTTGAGGAAGCGAGTTAGGTGGTGGAAGCTGTTTCGGCTTCTCAGAGATGCCGCCATTTTCTGCTTTACTTTTACTTTGACTGGGCTTTTAGGTATGCTATCTGTGCCATACCGGTTATGGACACCATGGCCCAAAGCAACCAAGAAACACGGAGAATAACGGTATTGCCCTGAATTTACTAGAGAAAATCAAAAAAATAAAAGTATTGACAGCTGTGGGATTTGAACCCACGCCCTTTCGGACCAGAGCCTAAATCTGGCGCCTTAGACCACTCGGCCAAACTGTCACATGTTTCTTCTGTTCTCCTAATATTTTATAAATATATTAAACATTGTCAACCCCTTGATTGCAGGATTACGCACATTTCATTATTTTGATATATATAGCTGATGAGGAGTAGGTCATGTTCATAAATGATAGAATAGGAAAAGAATAATTCGTTCTAAATTTATCTATCAGGTTGAATATGATAATGATACGTGAAAAATATGATATAGTGACAAATGGGTTGCAAGAATATAATTAACTTTTATCAATAAATCTCCTTAATCTTCAAGGAATTTGCTATACTATAATACTTTTTTATCACAATGATAAAATTAATAATTTATTAAATAGAGTGTGAAATATACTAAATATTATAATTATTAATAAATTTTAATCAATAAGAAAAATGAGTTGGAAAGGATGGATGAGAAAATGTTTTCCTACATTTCTACTGTCAATTCTTCAAATTAAGTTAAAGATTAATCAAGCTACAACAATTCTTCAATGAATACAACAGCAATGACGCTTAATGAAGGTGATTGTTGAAAAAGAATTAAACTTTGAAATAAGAGTCACAATTTATAAAATCAGAGAAATAAAAATTAATAATTTGATAAATTGGCATAGGTAATTTATTGACAGTTATATTTTGAATGGACAAGTATAGTGAGAGATGAGTAGTAGTTTGGTTTAGGATTTTGAATGGTGGCTTGAATTTCAATTTGAATTTGAATTCTGGTTGAGAGGGTGAGTCGAGGGAGAAGAAAGCGAGGCCACGTAAGAGGGCAAGGCGGGACCCACATGAAAAGAGGTTTCCAGTTCCCAACCCATTTTCTCATATCTCATTCTTTAGTGATACTTTACCACTCTGCGACCCTCCGCCACATCACCCATCTCTCCACTTCACTCAACATGGACCCCACACCAACGCCATCCTTCCACCGCCGATCCTCCGACCGCCTCCTCGACGCCTTCCCCATTTCCCCCTCCCCCTCCGCCGCCGTCTCCGCCGCCGACGAGCTCAACGAGGCAGAGCTCTTCTGGGACACCGAATCGGAATCCCAAAACCCCACTCCATCGCCCAAATCCCGCTTCCGCCACTTCGATCGCCCCGTAGATTCCGGAGTCCTCGTCGTCCTCACCGAGCCCGATTCCCGCCGCAGCGTCTTCCCCGCCCCCTCCTCCGCGCGGATGATTCCCTCGCTGCCGAGGCCGCCGCCACCCTCCGATTACCTCGCCCAGTCCGCGCCTTCCAGAAAGTTCCAGCAATCGGCGCCCATGAAGGTCCCGATTCTCATCTCCGCCGGCGCCGCGCGGAGGAGGAACGCCGCCGACGACTTCGCGCGCGTGATCGACGACGACGACGACGATGAGGAGATGCTGCCGCCGCACGAAATCGTCGCCAGGGGCTCCGGCGTTTCGCCCAAAACCACGTTTTCGGTGCTGGAAGGGGTCGGGAGAACGCTCAAGGGGAGGGATCTCCGTCAGGTCAGAAACGCCGTTTTGCGCAAAACCGGTTTTCTCGATTGATTTTTTTTTTTTAAATTTAATTTCCTTTTTGTTTTTATTTTGAGGTGGGGAAGTTTAATTTTGATAGCTTCTCTCTTCTGTACCGTGGATCACGGTGATAGCTTATATGAGGATGTTTTATATTTTTAGTCTCTCCATGTAACTTCGTTTTCGGGTGCTCTTTTTGTTCTCTCTGATTTATAGAATCTGGAAATGATACAAGTTGCTGGACCAAACATGGATAAAGTTCTCTATTTTTTTCTCTCTCCATTTTTTTTTGGCCTTAAATATGTTACATGGATAAACTAAAATGTTTCTGCTTTTAATTTTACTTCGGTTGCACTGGTGGTGAATAAATGAAACAACTCTGGGATGATGAATCAAGTGGTTGCTAATCACTGATGAGGTAATTAGGGATTTTCTTTTCATGGGATTGTAAACATGAATCGTTGCTTTGCTAGTAGTTGAATGGGAAGGACAATAATTGTGCTTTGAAAAGCTTGGAGAGTAGGTGAGATTGTTGTCTGTATTCGGATTAACACGTTTGATTATGGATATTACTATCACGGATTAGATTCTTGTTTAGCTTAACAATGAACCTTGATTACTGCTGGTTGACACTTATTGTTTGTTGTTTTCTTATTCGGAATAGTTCTGATTTTGAATGACTGCATGATTTGTTTCTCTCTCAGTTTTCACCTGAAAGACGTATCATATGCTGTGTGTCCAACCTGAAGAATCACAGCTTTGACTTGTGAGTTCATCTATTTTCTGTTTGTGAAATTGATTTTTGGCCCACTGTAGGGCATAGTTGTGGGCCAACTAGATCGATTCATGACCCTGGGAAGTTGCTTGTAGAACTGGTATAAGTCATGAAAAATGGCCAAATCATTTTCCTCGTTTAAAATATATTTTTTCTTCATCACCAACTAAGCAAACTAATAGAAGTTTCAACGTCAATCAAGCTAAGCACATGTTTTGTGTTGTTCTACAGAAGAATAGAATCCTGTGACTAGATTAATTTTATTATATTTTCCCCGCAGTACCCCAACGGTTGAATGGATTATTATGGGTTGCAAGTTGCTCGCAAAAGGGTTCTTAAATTATTCTAGTTTTAAAAAGTGTTTGTTTTTTAGGTAATATCCAAGCCTCCAACAGATTTTTTACAAAACAAAACTTGGGTTTTTTTAGATTTTGTTCTCTAATAAAAGTTTGACTTTACTGTGTAACCTGTTAGTTTTTAATGTCGACTTTTAGTATAAAGGTTATCAAAAACAAATTTTAATTTCAATTGAAAAATAACACTATCAGTACAAGGTATTGTTGCATTCAAGTCTTTTATAGGCACCAAAGGTACGTCCTGGTGCTTGTTAGGATTCACAATGAATCATCTTTTATAGGCACCAAAAGAACATCCTAATGCACGTTAGGATTCGCATTCAATCATCTAAAATTATGTTGAAATACAAGGTAAGATGATTTTAGATAAATATTCACGTTTGGATTGGCTTGATAGTCTTAAACGCAGATTATTCCTGAAGCCAACATTAGTTACTTCTATGAGTGTTTGTTTTAATGTTCAATCCAATAACGTTTCTTTTCTCTTCTTTCCATCTTTCCTCTTCTTTTTATGTTTGTCTTTGAAAAGTGAGAAAAATCAGTTGAATGGTGTTGAAACGCTAAAACAACCATGCTCTGCATTGTTTCATAATTTTGATGTGAGCTTTTGCAGAGACGTGGGCTACGGATACTCAACCAACCAAACACAAATTTGGTTTCGTGTTGAAGAATTAACTTTACATCCTTAAGTAATCTAGAGCTGGAAGTAATTTTAAGCGGTTTTTGTATTGAATATGAGAAAATTTTGATTATAATTTTTCTATTTTATTATAGTTTTTAAAAAGGGTAAATTTTGGTTACCGTTAAATAGTTTTATTTGATTTCCATTTCTGTATTATCTAAAGCACTATTTTCATTATAAAAAAAAACTCTTATTTGGTCCCTTATAATATATTTTTTTTTCAATTTAGTCCTACTTTAATTTTTCGTTTCAATTTAGTCCCTAATAATTTAAATTATTACAATTTGAGACTTCCGTCTTTATGATTTAAACGGAGTTAACTGTTGGCCAGGTGGATGCCACGTGGATGCACAGGTGGACGCCAAATTTCATGAATACACCTGGAATCAGAACGGTCCGTTTTGAAACCAAAACAGCTTGTTCTGCATGCACATGATATGTGTTAATTTTGCAATTGGAACGGGCTGTTCTGAAATCAGAACGGCCCGTTCTGAAGTTAGAACAGGTCGTTGTGGATTTAGAACAACCCGTTCCAATTGCAAAATTTACACACCAATAGTGTAACCAGAACGGCCCGTTCTGGTTTCAGAACTGGCCGTTCTGGTTCCAGGTGTATTCGAGAAATTTGGCATCTATCTACGTGTCATCTACATGACATCCACTTGGCATCCACGTGGCCAACAGTTAACTCCGTTTAAATCATTTAGACGGAAGTACCAAATTGCAATAATTTAAATTATTGGAGACCAAATTGAAACAAAAAATTAAAGTGAGACTAAATTGAAACAAAAAAAATATTATAAGGGACCAAATAAAGATTTTAACAAAAAAATATCATTTTAAGATAAATAATTTTTTTTTAAAATTAATAAAAAATTAGAAATGACATATATTAACATATCATCATGGGTCGAGTTAATGATCGATTAACCATTAATTGAAAAAATAAATAATTAAAAATGATTATATAATAATAAGAAGTAAAAAAAATAGTTTCAAATTTTAGAGAAATAAAAAATAAAAAAATTACATAAATTAAAATTAAAACTTGTTCATCTTATAAAAACTAAACAGATTTAAATTAAAAATACATAAAATTTCACTAATATTTAATATATAAAATTCAAAGTCAAATATTTTCACTTTAAAATCGGATTTAATCAAAATTATTTTTATAAAATAAATTTCATTTAAGATTAATTTTACAATTGCTCATCCAAACATTTTTAAAAAATTAATAACTTTAAAGATACAATAATTGCTTAAGTGAGATTTGATTCTCATTTCAATCAAATACTAGTGACTTTTACAAAAATTTAATTTTTGACTAAACAATTAATCCACCCAATTCGACTCATTTGATGTTTTTATCGGTGGGCTTTTTCATCCGCGACAACTCCTGCAACCAAAAAGACAACGAAAGATGTTAGACGAAAACGGACGGCGCACATGTGCAAACAAATCTCGAGCTCCCCTCTTGCAAATTTTGCAACGAATTGCTCCACGGCTCATTTCCAGAACCAACACTCTTTACAAACCCTCCTTTACAATTCCAAGGCAAGAGAGTCGTTTATTATTATTACATAATTTTAATTTAACAATTATGGTGTGAAAAATAAGATTAATCTTAACTTTTCATTTCTTTTTTAATAAATCTAATGGTGTTACATAAATTTAATAGTCATTTATTATTATTATTATTATATAATTTTAATTTAAAATTTACGGTGTGAAACTACATCTTTTATCATTTTAAAACATAGTTCATGTCGAACAATTTGATTTGTAGGGGCACGGTAGAAAATACCCTAAAAGTATATCTTGATAACTTGTAAAATATTTATCTTGTAAAAAAAAATGTTTTTGTCAAAAGAAGGAAGACCCCCAAAGATAAGTCTTGGCCAAGTTTATATTAGGTAAATTATTCTGGTTTTTTTTAATGTTGTATAAATATATTTTTAATTTTTCAAAGCAAATTTGAATTTGATCCTTCAAATTTAAATTTGAACTTTTTAGTTCATGTAATTTAAAAAAAATTTGTTCTAATCCTTATACACAAATTTTATTAGTTAATCTATTAAATAATGTCTCACAAAATTTAATTAGTAATACTTTTGTTAAAAAAAAATTAAACCTAATTGATGTTATATAATTATTTTGATCTATCATTATTAGAAATTAAAAAGTTGAATACAAATAATTAATATATTGAATTTAATGTCAGATTGTTTGCTTAAGTTTGATATAATCACCGATAATATTTTATTTACTAGTAAATTAAGAGATTAAAATAATTTTTTCAACAAAAAAATTACTATAACTAAGAAATTAGTTTTAAATTTAATAGATAAAAACATAAATTATCATAAATTTAAATGATTAAAAATACATTTAAATTAATTATAATTTAAACATTTAATTGTATAAACCACATTATATGCAATAGTATTAAAAAATATATATATATGATGAACACAAAATATAATTATATTATAAAAACAAGTTCTATTCACATGCACAATTTATATTCCTCTTCACGAATGAGTTAAATTTTTTGGCTTCTACTATTTCAAACTTGGGGTTAAATCCTCAAATATAATTTTATTGCGCTTCTTTCACTTGTATTAAAAGTGAAATAAATGACTATAAGTCTTGTTCAAAATTTTCAAAAATTAGTTGTTAAGTACATATTTTAACAATCTCTTATCTTAATTTAAGCTAAACTTGTCATTCAAAATATAAAACATTATTTTCAGTCATCTTAGCATGAGAGATTGAGTCTTGACTTAAGTAGGGATGTTAATTTTGATGGCATAATTCATCTTACATAAATTTTTCATATTAGCCAATAAAAAAATAATTGTTTTAACTTTAATAAAATTTTATTTATTTTAATATATCAATTCTGAATTGAAAAAGAAAATTAAAATAATTTTTTAAAATTTTTATATTTTTATTTATTTTACTATTTAGTCTTATTTTACTATCAAGTCTTCATATTAGTCTTATTTTTTTTAATTATTTTTAGTTTTTATACATGTAATTTTTTAATATTTTTAACTTCAATCTTTTTTTTTTTATAGAATGTCTCTTTTGGTGAGAATAAAAAAATTGTATTTAAGGAATGTGCATAATAGTGAAATTAAAAAAATAAAATAAAATGACAACCAATCTAATTTAAAATAATTTTGATAAAATAAATTTGATATCAAATTGATAAAATTGAATTAATATTTTTATTACATCAATACAAAAAAAAAGTTAAAAAAATAACAGTAATAAATAAAAAAGAACTTAAAAAAACTAAAAAAATAAGAAATAAAAATATATTTTTAAAATTATGATAAAAAAAAATATAAACATAAAATTTAGAAAACTATTTTACACCATAAAATTAATATAGGTGAAACTATAAAGAAAAAAAAAAGTATTTTTTTAAAAAGGAAAAATTGCACCTAAAATAAAAACTACTAAAAATTAAACCAAAATTAAGACTTTTAAATTAGGCAGATATACTTAAGACATAGTGACATAGTTCAGATAGACCAACATTTTTAATCTTTATAAAAATATTAAATTCCAATAAATCATATTCAACATGTACTTTAAATCTTAAGAAATAATCAATTTTTTAAAAAATACATATCCAAAAAAGTGCACTAAACACATATTTAAGCAAATAAATAAATTTATACCAATTAATCATAAATATTAAAAAAATCATATTGAACATTAAAAAAAAAAAAAAAGTCGAGCACTAGCATTATCAAACTTGAAAATATACATCCTAGATACAGCAAATTCTGATTTTCTCATTTCAAAATCAAACTTCCAAGTTCTAAATAAAGATGTAGCAATAATTTTATTTAGGAAACAGAAAAATGACACTTCTTAAGAGAGTATGAGCAAGTCAGATATGCGAATGGATTTGCCTCAAAATTTTGAATTCAGAAAGGAATTTCCCTTTCATACATCTAATTGAATCATCATTCTTGCCTCCTTTTTTCTTTAAACACGACAAAACAAAAGGCACGAAATAATAAAATCAGCTAAACTTAAAAATTCGTTTTGTAGAATGTTTCCCACCTCATAGAGGCATTGATAATGACCTAGCCAAAGGATCTCAAGTCCCAACAATAGTAGAGGTCAAAACACCAGCGGCATAGGTATCAATGACTCGTGAATAGAAGAATAAGGAGGGAGAGAAGAGGATCCAGAAGGAAAACCCTAAAGAGAAACCTCAAGTTATGTTGCTATGGCGCTGCTATGACTCAAAACGCTTCCATCGTGAAATAGGGAAGGCGATCTTAAGGGCAGCGCCTCAATTTCAAAATATTAATCAATACAACAAACACGCCTTGTCTGAAGGACAGCACAAGATATAAAGGAAAAACCCTAATTGTTGTCTGAACAACGAGATAAGGGGAATATATATAGTCTCATTGATGTCCTCAAAGACCAGATTACCCTTCATGGGCTTTCTCAATCACGGCCCTTATTTCCTATATGGGCCGCAACTAATTTAGGCTTCCAATTCCGCTTATTTATACGCTTTCTTTTAGTTTTGCTTTTCTATTTTAAAAATATTTTTTATATGAAAAATATGTTTGACAATGCATTTTAAACTAAATATATACACATATATATAATTTCGTGTGTAATTATTTTATTTAAAAAAAATAAAAGGGAGATGATGAGATTTAATAAAAATGTACAATAATTTTGAAGTTGGACTCTATGTAATTTAGCAAGGAGGTTTTTCATTTACAATTAAAACATAACAGTGATATCTATATTAATATATAAAGGAATACCCCTTTCAGTAACTACCTTAGTCTTTATTTTTTATTATTATGATATCCTTTTATTTTAAAAAAAATAGAAAAAATATTTTTAAATCAAATTTAAGAACTTGAAATTAATAGATTAATTATAATATCAATTAGATCAATATATTTTTATTATTTATTATTTATTTTATTTTTAATAGAGGCACGAAGTACCTCGATGCTACTAGTAATTTATAATGTTAGTTAATAGATAAAATAATAATTATCGTCATTCTAATAGTTAAAAAATATTTATTTATTTATACATTTAATAAATGGTACATGTGCTAACGGCGCAAAAAAAATTTACATTATCGTCTTGTTACAAATCGTTATTTTTGATCAGTTTATTTATTTTTACAATGACTATTTTAAAAATTATGCAAACAATAGTTTCTAATTGAGTAAAATGTATTTTCTTTGCACTATCGAAATTAAACTCTTTATATCGCGATTTTTTTTTAATGTGGTTTCAAGTGGATCCATATTTTGTTTGCTTACTGTGTGGGCTTTTTTGTAGTCTGAGTGTTAATATACCCTTCAAATTGGGCCTAATGATTGAAGAAAAAGGTTTGGCCCAATATTCAACTCTGGGTTAATCCAAGTGACGCACGCTATATCTAGAAATCAAATACAAAGAAAAAAAGTTTTCCCCATGTCAAATGCACACTTTAGAAAAAATATCAAAGGAGAAGGAAAAAAAAAAAGATATGCATATAAAAACCCTAGAAGCTAGTATTTAGGCAATTGTGAGTGTCATTAATCAATGAGATTATGGTGAAATGCATGCAAAGGTGAGCGATAATCAACTTTTTTTATTTATTTTATCTATTAATTTTTCATTCAATAACTAAAACCCATCCCCTTTTTTCTATTAGTAAAATCCATTGGCTAACAAAAGTAAAATCTAGAACGTGGTTAATTCACTTAATTGAGTCTAAAAAGTAAAGGTGAGGTTGCTTTCTTCAAAATTCAAAGACGCGAATATGGTTCATATTTTGAACCACTAAATGGTATAACTTTGTGAACAAAATAACAAATTGTCAAAGCATTTGAGAGGGACAGACGACTACCTTCGCGTCAAGTTCATGCTCGTTCCGAAGAAAATGCATAAAGCAGTTTGAGATAACATCAAGAGTGTGTGAAAGGTATGAAAAATTTTACTTGTTCATATTTCTCCATGCTTTCTTTTGAGGGTTAAAAAAAATCTCTAACCATAATTCACCGTGTAATGTTTCTCTAAATATGTCTTATGCATATTAACTAACTTCAAAACTTTTTCTACAAGCAAACGTCTCCATTGCGCATGGTCTTGCTTAATGCTTGAAGAGCTTGATATGATACAGTTTATCCGTTAGAGTAGCCTATATGCCTCCACTGCTTTCAACTATTTTTATGCAGGATGAAAATGTATATTTTATTTAGATTTTAGTGATAATCCGAATTAAGCTGAAGAATATATTCAAGGAGACAAAATTCTTCTGCCACATCTTGTTTTCATACAAGCAAATTATGATTCTTATAAATTATAAATCTTAAAAATTACGATTATTAAAAATGATGGAATTTATTTCATTAATTATAAAAGTTTTTATAAATGATATTTGAGAATCAAACATTTTTATTACATTAAATAAATAAATATAAATAATATATTATATTTGATAAAATTTTATTATATTAAATAGACAAACAAAAGTAATATGAAATTTTTTACTTGAATAAAAAAATTCATTCAACTCTAAAATGTTAGATTCTAATTTATCCCGTAAGGAAAGTTTGATGGGAAACAGGTAAAAAAACATTCTCATAAAATAATATTCCTTTGAATGTTATTCTTTAATGGAAAAAGAGTATTAATTCATTCTAAACTTTACTCCTTTTATAACATCATGAATTTTAATTTTATCCTAATAAATTCTTAAACATTACCTTATTTGTAAATAGATATCATAAACTTTAAATTTATTCTAATTACCTCTTAAACTTTTATATTTTTATAAATAAACAACTTATAACTAAGTCTCTTTACCTAATGGCTGTAAGGTTTACACTAAGATATAAGGAGTTAATTTGGTGTTCTCATGTTCGATTCTTATCTGTGTTAAAATAATATTTGACCAACAAAAGCTAAGTCTTACAAATGTAGATTAGTTATTGGTTGTTAGTTTTATAATACTACATGAACCATATTCTTGTACAAAAAATAACACCTTCAACTTTAATTTCATTTTAAGTGATATTTAATGTTTGTCATTTTTACAAATGCATTTTCTTTTTGAATCATAATTTATTGATATTAAATGTAAGTCTAAAAACTTACACTAAATCTTATAGTTTTAATATTTTTTTATAATGAAAATTTAATTGATCAAAAGTTGAATTGTGTGATATTATACTTCATATCATATATATCAAAATTTACATAATTCCAAAATTATTTAGTACTCTATTGCATTGTTTTATTTTAATGTATGAGATGATATTTAAAACATATGTAAATATCTATTATAACATATCTAAAACAATTCAAATAATGCAAAATTCAATATACACAATTTTGAGTATAATATTATATAATTCAATGATTAAATCAATTAAATTTGTATTATATAAAAAATTATTTAATATATAACATTTGTTATAAGTATTTTTACTTACATATGGTGTTAATGAATATTTTGTTTTATCAATTTAGAGTTTAGTTATTTATCTAATCATTTATTGATTTTTTTTTATAATTATTTTTAAAAATATAATAAAAATATGAATTTGAAAAAAAGACAAAGAAGTGAAAACAAAAAAACAATTAAAAAAAATATTTACTTTATTTTTTAATTATTAATTTTACAATTTATACATATAAAAAGTGATACAAAAATAAAACTAATAAATAAGTACGATTTATAAATAAATAAATAAAAACAAATAATTATTATTTATTCGTTCTTTATAATTTAATCCTAATATAATGTAAGAGATGATTATATACATAATAATAACGGACAAATTTAACAGATAACTAAGATTAAATTGAAATGAAGGTTTTATTCGCAAAAAAAAATAATATAGTAAAGTTTAATGTTCTATTATAATATAATTAAAGTTTGTGATGTATATTTATTAATAAAATAAAAATTAGGGATTAAATAAAATTTTATAATATTTATTTATAAAAATAAAATAAAATTTATAATAACTTAATACATTAATAACTATTTATTAGATTAACTTATCAAAATTTACTTTTGAAATAAGTCTATCAACTAAAAAATGAAATTGTGTTAGAACATAGGAAGGAGACATTTTCTACTACCTTAATTTTTTTTTATGCGTAATTAAGAATAATTATTATTTTTAATTTTATTTTAATAAAATTCACTAAACTTACAATAAGATGCTTAATAGTATTTATGGGATAATCTTTTTTAAAAATAAACAATATTTTAAATTAATCACATTCTTTTATCTATTTTAGATAATATTTCATCACAAAACTTACCATCTTTATTTGAGAGGTAATTACATTCTTTTATTTTTTAAATAAATTACATTTTTAATTATATTATTACTATAAAATATCTATAAGAGAATTTATTTGATTATTTTTAATAGGGTCACCGTTTCTAACAATTTTCTTTTTTACAAAAGATTTGAATTTAAGACTTTATTTAAGAAAATTAAGTGTAACACTACTTGAACCAATGACTTATTTTTTTTTCTTTAAATAATTAAAGAGATCACTATTTTTGGATAACCATGTTTTGGTATGGAATATCTACTGACTTCATCGATAACTAATTGTTGTCAAGAAAAATGACTAATCATTTTTAATGAACTTTTCTCTCTCAATCATGTTTTTTTTATACACAAGATTTAAATTTAAAAAATTATCTTATGAAATTAAGTCAAGTAGTAATTGAACTAACGACTTATTGACTTAAAGAGATTATTATAAGAGAATATTTGATTGAAGAAATTTTTTTACATGTGCCGAAAATCATGATTCTTCGAAATTATAGATATCAAGAATCATAATTAACATAAATGATTAAATTTGTTTGATTATTCATAAATATTTTAAAGTATTTATAAATATTATTTAAGGATATTTTTTTATTACATTAGTTGACAAATTAAGTTAATATAATATTTTTATGACAATAAAATAT